CTGAAAATAAAACTCACTCGTTTACACTTTGCCCCTTTCTTGATTGCCAATGGCTGCAAAGTACAACGTGAAAACGCAAGGCTGACGCTCCGTAGCGGATTCACACATCCATGAGCGAGGCATTTTAGTTGAAGAGATGGGAGTTGCGCGACAGCATGCTCCTAGAATCTGTTTGAGTAATGGTGCGTTCAAGTCATGTCGGATAGATATTTACGAGTTGAACGCACATGAACGCCACCACAAAGTCGTTATTACGAGTGGGAAACTCGAAATTTTCTTCAAGCCCCGAGTTTCCGAGTTGGGGGCGTGTCAATGAGAAACATGGCGGAATCGATGGATGCAACGTCTGTTGTTTTACCGCAGAACATTTATTTGCGTGGTGCCCCCCTGGACGTGGTGCCCCTGGGCACTTGCCCAATTGCCCATATGGTTAATCCGCCTATGTTGATTAGGGTTGGAGCAAATCTCTGCAGGACACCGGCCCTCCAGGACTGAGTTTGGAGACCCCTGATGTAGATGGACAAACTCATCTACATCTTGGATGACCTGAGGGTGAGTAAAATTTTCAACAAATCAGTTTTGGGTGAACTATTCTTTTAATGTACACAACAGTAATTATGAGTTTTGCACACAGTTTGATAAATCAAATTACTATGCAATTTATTTTATCACAATAAGCTAGTCTGTCATTACAATGTAACTGTAACATCTACCAAGTAATAGTAGTATACCAGTACACATAATAGTTGTCATTAAAGTCCACTGGTTTACCATTGTACAAAGCTTCTTAAACCCCACTAGTTCCCCTGTATGCAACAAAAAATGGCCCAGTGCTACCTATTGAGTACATTCCTGCCAAAAGTAAAAACTATTTTATTTTATTAACAATCACATAATTCTATAACTTGAAACACATTAGTAATTATGCAGAGTAAACATATTTAGTTTTTTTTTCTCAGCTCCTGTCTTTAATAATTCATTCATTTAAACCTGTGACATTGCATTGTGTTTCAAGGGTTAACTCTGTTATTCATCATCCAGTCCCTCACTCTGAAGACATTCACTCAGAGTCTTTGTGACGCTTGCTTCTCACTAGCAAATTCACTTGACAAGTCACTGGCTTCATCTAAGGGTAAGAGCTTTTTTAAATGAAAAGAATGTATATCTAGACAGTTCTTTATTTATTTGCTCATATATCTGTTGATGTGTTACCACTCTTTAAATAGGTGCTTAAACTCTTTTTTTCTTATTGTCTGTCATTGCATCTTCTTTTTGTAGGTTCCATATACTCACACATCTTCTTAACTTTTTATGCCTTTCACAACTTCATTCTTACCTCCTATTTATGAGAATTTTATGTTGTATTTTAAGTAAGTGTTTATGAAATATGTACATGCAATTCAAATATTGGAACAATGTTATGTCATTTTAGTGACCACAGTATTTAGGAAATGCTCTTGTTTAGGTACATAAAACAATATTGTTATTTTTTTTAACTATATCATTTGAAACATTTATTTTATCAGTATTTTACTTCTTCTGTTTTTGTCTTGTACTTCTAGTAAACAAAACAAACCAAAAAAAAAAAACTGTAGAAGTAAAAATGTTAAAATACAAAATAAAAAACAACTTTTGTTTTCTGCTATACACAGCAGATTTTACATTCCAAGTCCCTAAATTTTTCTTAAACAGTGTAACACTACAGAAGGGTAAATTCTGTTGAAGCCAAGCAACCAGCTTCACCAGACAGAACACAATAAGCTTGTTTGAGATGACAAACACCTCGTCTTGAATGTAGACGAGAGCAGGCGGCTGCAGAGAAAGAACCGGATAAGAGCTGTCAAGAGCTGACAATTCTCACTTCTCATAGTGGACAGGCAATCTACATGAACAAATACAAATTATTATTAAAATATCACATTCACATCATTTGTTGCTAATTAAGCGGATGCATCCAAAATGTATTGGAGTTGATATAGATCAGGGGTGGCGAACGTCGGTCCTGGAGAGCCGCAGCCCTGCAGAGTTTTGCTTCAACCCTAATCAAACACACCTGAACAAGCTAATCAAGGTCTGAAGGGTTACTAGGAAGCTACAGGCAGGTGAGTTTTTATTAGGGTTGGAGCTGAGCTCTGCAGGACTGCGACTCTCCAGGACCGGAGTTCGCCACCCCTGATATAGATAATAGAATAACATTACACAAGTGAGCCTGTCCCAATAAGTGGTCTTGGCCACTTGAGATGCACATGACAGGAAATAAGTGCAAGACTGTACCAGGTCTGAAAAATGTCAAAGCTCAGTGCCCTTGAGGCACACTAAATCCACACTCTAATCCACATCTCTAATGATATTGCTCAGAGTGTTGTTTGAGGCTAAGCCTATGTAAGTGAAATGAATTAAATATTACATATAATTTGATGGTAAAACATAAAGTGTTGCACATTGTATGTGCAGAGACGAGTACTGTATGTATATTTTGTAAAACATTTGCAACTGCTTTCTATCTCTTAATTAGAAGCACCTCAGTAAATTTTGTCTTCTGTTACATAGAAACATCTGAATAGACATTGAGAAGTTTATTCTAAAAGTGCAAAGTACTGAAAATCAAAATGTATAAATAAAGGTCTGTGAAAACGTTATTTGCATTTTTACAAATCTATGATGTAGTGTGTTCCATCATATAATCAAAAGTTCCACACACTTGCAGTCTTCTTGCTCACTTGAACACTTGCGCCAAAGACAGGAAGTACTTCATGTAAGTAGACAAGTGGTCAATTGCAAAAAGCGCAAGTGTGGGCGCTGAGACAGGCCCATTCTCAAAGAGATTGCTAATAGCAGGGACGTGCACAGACATTTTGAGGGGCAGGTGCTCAAGTGGGAAAAGGACACTTCTCATATTTATTTACATTTTTTTCTAAATAAAACATTAAATATATTAGGGGTGTGCGATATTGACAAAAAATATATATCTCAATATTTTCTGTGATCTTATCGATAATGATAATTAGACGATATTTTGCTGAGTGTGTTATTGTGCTGATATCATAAGGACTACTGTGGACAGCTGACTCTTAAAGTTTTTGATATTCTGCATATTCTGTGTGGTGATCAGTTCACAGCAGTGATAGAAATTAATCTTTTCCAATAAGTTTAAATGGACTTTTTACCTTTTATGGGCATTTTTACCTTTATAAGGCCCTTTTTTCTAAAAGTGTGCATCATCTTTTCAGTCGAATTCTTAAATTGAATCAGTTAATTAGAATAATAAGTCATTTGGGCTGTTACCAAGCAAATGAAATCAGTATTGACAAAATTAATCTTTGCAATGCAGAGAAAACACAGAAGCTGCATTAGAAGGGGCATTTAGATGCATTTACACACTGTATAATGCAGGACATGAGTGTATTTAACCTGCAGTTACAAATGCATTAATACTGTTTTGATATTTTAAACATACAACGTTGAATATTGATATTTGAAATTATTAAAAAGAGTCATTGCGACTGAACCGAATCATTTAAACGGTTGATTCATTCAGGCACCAAAATCGACTCCTGCGGAACGCCACATACTAAAGGAGCCAATGTGGAAGAAAAGGCCCCTATGTGCACTGCAACCGTCCCGTCCTTTAAATATGATGCAAACCACTGAAGGGATGTGCCCTGGACACCAACCCAACACTCCAAGCAATTAAGAAGAATCTTATGGTCATATCAAAAGCTATAATCGAAGATCTAACAAAACTAAATCAACATGTGATCCTGAATCCAAAGATAACAAAATATCATTATTAACCTTAAGTAGTGCAGATTTGGTGTCATGGAAGGACCTAAAGCCCAACTGGAATGTATCTAAAATACCAAAAGTATTCAAATATGAAAAGAGTTAAGAGAAAAGTGAGAAGCTGTGGGTTTTGTAATGAACAAATCCATCAAGATGTTTTTGGCTTGGCTTCTAGCTCAAATACAAGTCCTTTATCCATGATATTGCTTTCTCCAGTGAAAAAGTTGTCTTGTCTGAATCAGGAAAGAAATATGCACAGATCAAGCATCTCACATCTGTGTCGATGAAGAAAACTCATCTACATCTTGGATGGCCTGAGAGTACACTTTCAGCAAATTTAAATTTTTGAATGAACTATTCCTTAAAGGTGCAATTCATAGCTTTCAGTCACGTGACCGGCTCGAAGACCTGGAGGGCAAAACATCCACAGAACTGCAGCACAAGCCTATCAATTTTCCATCTGTTTCACAGCCGCAAATATTTAGATCACCTCTCAAAAGAATAAAACAAAGGTATGTGAACAAAATGCGAGTTTTGGCCATTTGCAATCCATATTAAGCACCCGCGGCAATATTTCAATCATTAAACAGTGCGACAAAATGTTGTAAAAACACTTAAATTGCCTTAATATATTTAAAACAGTAATATT